TAATTCTTTTTTAAAATTGTTTACTTAATTTCACTTATTCATTCATTCTATTATTTTATTTATTTATTTATTTTACCACAAAATCACCCCCCGAGGGGATGGCAACACCGCAATAACTTCTCCATTCTCCTCTCGGGATCTTGGGCACGCATGTACACGCACCCGGCATAAGTTTAAGCCACCGGATTCGGGACTCATACTGTGGTCGACTACATGGGAGTCCAGTGACACAGTCATTACGCCAACTGCTGGCCCTTCATTCATTTATTTTTAATTCGACCAGAGAGAAACACACAGAGAAAGAGGGAAAGTGAGAAAGCAAGACACCGTCCGGGACTCGAATAGTAGTCGATCGTGTGGGAGTGTCCAGCTCTCTAAACACCATGCCACCTGCTGGTCCCCCAATAAAATGATTCTTTAAAAAAAGGTATTTATATATAGATACAAGCAGTTACATATAGACATGTTTATAAGTATTTGCATATGCAATAGCATACACACATATATTTACTTACCTCATCAGCTGAGATACCCCAGTAGCATCAAGCATGGTTTCTTTCTTTTTTTTTTTCTTTTTTGGAGAAGTTTTTGCTACAGGACGCGTGCACTCGCCAGAAAGACCAAGAGAGACAGAGAGACAGAGAGCAAGAAATCACCCCACCCCACCCCACCCCCGGGGGGATGGCCACACTGCAATCCCTTCTCCTTCCTCCTCTCGGGATCTTGGACACGCACGCACACCCGCCCGGCGTGAGTTTAAGCCACCGGGTCCAGGACTCAAACTGAGGTCAACTAGGGAACCAGCAGTTAGCGTAATGGCTATGTCGCTGGACTCCCACGTAGTCAACCGCGGTTCGCGTCCCGGACCCGGTGGCTTAAAACTCACGCCGGGCGCGTGTGCGTGCGTGCCCAAGATCCCGAGAGGAGAATGGAGGAGAAGGGAAAACAAAAAAACTGAGGTCAACTACATGGGAGTCCAGCGACATAGTCATTACACTAACTGCTGGTTCCACAATAAGCATGGTTTCTAATATCATTTCCCAATAAAAGGAACCAAAGGTCTTCAGAAAAAGGCTGACTCTAGGATTGGGGCAGGAAATACGGAAGATGAGTACTGAGCATCTTGTGTGCCAGAAAGTAAAGAAGTGTTCAAACGTGCACACACAGAGTGATGGGGTATATCAAAGAGCCACAGGAGAGGTGGGAAAACCTGAACAACAAAATAGAGCAGTATTGGGTTGTAACACAACTTATAAAAGCCGGTATAGGGCCAGCTCATGGTCTGGTGGTTAAGGCAGCTGGATCCCACACGGCCAACCACGTGGTTCGAGTACCTCAGCTGGCAGCTTGAGGAACACTGGACACACATGCATGCATGCCCAAAACCCCGAAAGGAGAAAGACATGGAGAAGGGACTGTGGCGTGACCATGCTCAAAGGGCTGTGCTTTCTCGCCTCTTTCTGTCTCTCCTCCAGTGCACACACCCTCTGGTGTTTTTGTTTGTTTGTTTTTGGTTTTTTGTTTTTTATTTTTTTCTTTACAGGTTAGAAATATACATGACTTGGCATAATGGTTACATCACTGGACTCCCACAGAGTTGACTGCAGTTCGAGTCCTGAACCTGGCGGCTTAAAATTCACGCCAGGTGTGTGTGCACATGTGTGTGTGTGCCCATAGTCTCAAGAGGAGAATGGAGAAGAAGGGACTATGGCATGGCCATCCCCCCGGGGGGTGACTTCTCACTTTCTGTCTCTCTGTCTTTCCGGTGAGCATGTGCCCTATAGCAAAAAAAACTCTCTTGAAAAAAAGAAATATACATGACTTTACTGGTCAGCATTTGCATACGGAGACATGGTGCATGCAACAATACATGACATTTTTCTTCAACTGATGCAACTCAGTAATTTTTATTGCAACTGGAAGAGAATACATAACAGAAACTTAATTGTAAATCTTAGGAAAAGTGTTATCTACAATAAATGATAAAACAGTTTGTCTTTGGCAATATGATTACATATGAAGAATGCGATATGCAAGTACGGACGCCTCCAAAGCCACGCCATCATGGCCTTACAGTCAGGCAGATCGCACCTGCCTCCACGCTGCTTTAGGTTAATGCACTCACAACGGAACATCACTTTCTTTCTCCTTTATGGTTCTCCTTTTCTATAAATGATACCGTTAGTTTCACACAGAAAATACAGAAAAAAATGACCTCTAAAAAATTATTACTCTTGGCGGCCCCCCGGGCCTGCGCGTGGCCGCCGGGCCTGCGCATGGTCCCTGGGCTTGTGCGTAGCCGCCAGGCCTGAGCCTGCGCGTGGCATCCAGGGCCGCACGTGGCCCCC